CTCTCTCTCTCTCTCTCTCTCTCTCTCTCTCTCTCTCTCTCTCTCGTTAATAATTTTCCAAGTGTTGTGGTGCTGACAAATGTGTCTAGATAGCCAATGGCACTCTTCCAGAATGGCCTAGCTATGGTCCTGAGGTCAAACGCGCCTTTTACAGACATGGAATTGGTTCAGGTTTGAGGCACAGGACTGCCTGCCTGTGGCAGCTGCATTAGGAACCTCCTACACCCTTCCTGTAAGACTCAACTCCAAATGTTAGGAATTCATAGGGCTCCTTAAATCTTTGCTCTAACTGAGGAGACTATTAAAAAAGAACCCAATGAAGTGAATGCATTTTTCTCGTAGGCATCTGGAGTGTGGCTGCTTGGCCTCTGGGCCTCCTCCTTGTTGGCAGGAGTCTCAAACAAATTCGTGGCTGCTGTTCTCCACTCAGCCTCAATGGGCATGGAGATGGTAATACCACTCTTTCTCCTTTGCACCTAATCAATGTTTTGTCTTTAAATCAAGCATTGAGTTATGGTGCCTTTATTCTTTCCCACGGAGGTTTTCACGTTCTCAGAAGATAAGAGTTTCTGTCCAATTTACAGACTTTATGGTTAAATACAACTTGTCATTTAACTTTTAACACTAAAAGGACAATGTGGGTGTGATTAGACAGCTGTGGCTGGGATCACTTAATCTGTTTAGCTTTCCTTCTCCCAAAGGTCTGATGGTGTGAGCAGAGCACACCAGAGTTAAGAAGGGATGAGGGTTAATTTCAATCAGTGCATGAGGGGAGCACCTTGGTTTTGAGCCTGTGGTAGCTCTACATAGGCCTCACAACAGTCTCCCCTAAAACTACAGTGATTTGTAATTGCAGGGAATGGGGCAAAAGGGCCAAAGAAATCATCCTTACAAGGAGGAGACGAAGAAGACTTGGGTAATCAGATGCTTAAGTGGCTGTGCTGGGTTTTTAAATGGGGGTCTGAAACCAAAGAATACAAGGCCTCTTTCCTAGAAATGTTCCAGACCAGGAGGTAACAAACAAGCCTCTCATATGTCACAAATTTACCTCTTATCATTTGTTGCTGCAGAGGGATTAACAAGCAATTATCAATTTGCTTCTTAGTATAGGAACTTCCTTTGGGGACAAAACTCTCAAGAGGCCAATATGAAAGATGAACCCAGCTTAGGTAAGACAAGGTCACAGAGGAATTGGAAACAAGTAATTAAATGGTGAGACCCCCGACCCTGCTGGCCACTTCAAACTTCTGTGGCTACAGGAGTCCTGGGGGCATCAATGTGTCCTATGGCACTCCCCTCATGCTCAAGTCCTTAAACAGTGCCAAAAGGGCAGCTCTCAAGTGCACATCTCCTCCAATGTTTGGGTATTAGGCTAAATTCTGCTTTGTGGCAGGAAGCCAGAAAATGCCGCATAAAGATCAGCAGCCTCCAGGATCCTGATAAGCACTTGCTTGCTTAGAACACTCTAGTGTGGGGTGGGAAGGAGGGAGATGAGGGCAAGACGTACAGAGAGGATGAGAGCGCAGAGGGTGCAGGATGGGAGGTTAATCACTGATCCATAGGCTGAGAGGTCATCTGGTCCAATCCTCCTCATTTTACACATACCCGAAACTAACGGACAGTTTAGTAATGAGAATCTGGCCCATTTTGAAAAGCACTCAGAGATGTAGTGTCTACCCCTTTCCATGGCCAAAGCTGAACAGCTCTCAGTCCACCTTACTGAAGTGAAATACCTCTCACAACCCTACAGATGAGAGACTATCTGGACAAGTTTCTCAGTACTGACAGATGATTATGTAGCTCTGCTAATCCCAAACCATTTACGGTTTTGGTCATCAGTCTTTTTCTTTTTTCTTTTTTTTTTTTGGGACACAGTCTCACTCTGTTGCTCAGGCTGGAGTGCAGTGGTATGATCTCGGCTCACTGCAACCTCCGCCTCTCAGGTTCAAGCCACTCTCCTGCCTCAGCCTCCTGAGTAGCTGGGACTACAGGTGCCTGCCACCATGCCCAGCTAATTTTTGTATTTTTAGTAGAGACGGGCTTTCACCATATTGGCCAGGCTGGTTTCGAACTCCTGACCTTGTGATCCACCCACCTTGGCCTCCCAAAGTGTTAGGATTACAGGTGTGAGCCACTGCGCCTGGCCGGTCATCAATCTTTTTAATGCAGAGACTGGGTGAGTTGTGAGTCCCCTTTTAGATTTCCATGGGGACTGGCCCTGTAAACCTAAAGGTCATCAGTGCTGACAAAGACAGTATAAGAGATGGCTCTGGTCTTCACTTACAGACACCCTAAAAACATCTCAAGTAAAGGTTTCCTCAATACTAATCAAGCTTTGTTCTCAACATCCCATGGGGAGCTTCCTGAAGCTCCCCATGGGATGTTGAGAACAAAGCTTGGGTGGCCTGCTGAACACCCAGCCTGTCCCCTACTCTTCTCTCTGACACAAGAGACATTCCGTGCAGCTACACCACCAAATTACATTAGACTGGAGGGATCATGAGGAACAGGGGACCCTCTGTGGGGATGAATACAAAAACCCAGCTGCTGATTCATGATTGACGAGTCCTGGTTTCACCTGTTTCCACTGCAGCTCTTCCCTGGTATATGACATATGCTGACAGCAACCCCTCTTCCCAAAGTAGACTGTTCTCATTTCTGTCTAACATCTATGAAGGGAAATAGAATCAATATGCTAGAAAGAACAAATTTCTTAGAGTTAGCGCAGTCTCAGCATGTCAATAGGGAATGAGTCTGGTTGCCAAGATCTTTATGGTTCTAAAGGAGTAGAAGATAATGACTGCTCCACTTGCCTCTCTACCCCTCAAACTCTAACTAACAGGAAATGAAGCAAAAGACAACAGTTCTTAGATCAAAACTAAAAGTGTCTTGTTTCTTGTTCAAAGATAGACAGGAAAAGAATAAGAGGGAGCTAAGAAGTCAGTGGGAAACCTTCTCCATCCTTTTAAAATTAGGAGGAAAAAGGTATTGCAGCCCTCAACAAGATGGTTTTATTTTTCCCCTACTGCATGCCAATAAAACTCAGACCAGTAGTTCAAGCAGCAAACAGCACTGTTCAGATCAGCTCAGATAAGAAGCTAAAAGAAAAAACTCTGTGGTTATTTTGTTTACATTTGGTGATCTCATCATCTGCAAAGCTAAAACCTTGCAGTGGTGGCCAGAGTTCAAGTGCAGTTGGCAGATGGAAGCTGGCTAGAGGAAGGGGGCAACTGGAAACAGGCT